CAATTTTAGCTTTTACCTTTCACTTTTCTTGACGCATGTTATAAAAAAACAAATACTACTTAAAAGTTGAAATTTCAAGCGTTTTCTATATTATATAACTGAGAAACAATCTCAACTAAATATGGTAAAATAGAACAAGTCAATTTAAGAAAATGGAGAGAAAAATAGAGTAAGTCAACGACACTATCATTTACGTATAGAAGTTTCACCAAATAGTGGAATGGAATGAGAACAATAGTACAGTATTATATATGAGCAATAATGCAATATTATTAGCAAGAGAAAAAAAATGAAGACATGAGCATAGAAAAAAAAAAAAGATGAAAAGTCACTTCAAACAATCTTCCAAAATCTGATGGGTTTGGATGTGATTGTTTTATGAATTTGGTATTTATAATTACCACTAAAAAGTCCTTCAAAATCTCTCTAATATTACAATCCTTTAAAATCCTAATATTTTTGAATATCAATGAATTATTTTTAAGTTATAAAAAGTCTCAAATGAATACCAATGGACTTTAATAGACTCTTAAAAAAATCTTGAAAATCCAGATTAAATATTACTAAATTGTTTTTAAGTAACATAAAATCCTAATCGAATATTAATAAACTTTTCTACTAAAAAAAAAAATCTTTAAAATTCTATGAAATTATAAATCAATATACCCTTAAAGTCTTAAAACAAATTTAAGATTTAGGGTTAGGCATGCATAGGCGTTTTATTTGGCTTTTCCATATACAAAATTGCCCGAACCCCCTCCTCCCAGCATTTTTCTTCAATCATGTGTGCCCAACATAAAATGCCTAGGGCTCCTGACATTTTATGTGAATTAAAATATTGCAAATAAAACGCTTCGGACTCCCTACGTTTTCTTTTTCTTTTTCATTTTTTCGATATGCGCCTCAGACCAGTAGTGTTTTATTTGTATCATTTCGTATATGGCAAAAATAATTCATGCTGATAAATATTTTTTAATAATTTAATTTTTTTTATTTAACTTGACCAAAAAGCCAATGTATTCCCTAACATTCGGACAGAAGGATTGACATATACTTTTTTAAAATTATAAAAACTAAAATAATTAATTTTAAAGTTGAAAGACAATTTTTTTCATATTTAAACTTCAAATAAATAATATTAAAATATTTTTTTAATGAGAAAGATTGTCTCGGGGCTAGATGGCTCCTTATTTTTGGACTGACTTTGGAGTTTGGATGCTGTTTGGCAACGTAACAACGAAATGTTTTTTAATCAAAACGGACATCAGAGTATGGAGTTCATGTAAAGGTCTTTCAAGTCAATCAAGATGCCTTCAAGAATCAACCAGACCAAGTATATGGAAACCAGAGGATGATTCAATAAGAATAAAACATATATAATGAGTGATAATTATAATGTTACCATAATCAATTTTCTATAACAAATTTTAATTTGATGGAAATAATTTTTCAAAAACCGATTTATAATCGGTTATATATCCAAATAAAAAATCACTTAAGATGGATCTAATAGTAGTAAAGATTCAGATAATATATATAGAATTCTATATTTAAATTAACTATGTTACCAATATTGTGAATTTTACATGTAAAAAAATATATATCCAAAATCAGTTATTACCAAAAACTAATTTTAACTGATTTAAAAAAAATAAACTGAAAAGATTAGTATCCAGAGTAAAATAAAATCCACAACAGTATTTTTTTAAGAGTTTATTTTTAACTTTATTTTTACTTTTTTTAATGAAAGTTCTTAAAAAAAATAACTTCTTATTTATTCAATTTATTTATAAAATAAAATTTTAAAATAAATTCTCAATAATTAAATATTTAAATATGTTTTTAGTTCTTATGTTTTAATTTTAATCTACAGAAGAAAAAAAATTCACCCTTCTAAAATTTATATGATTAAATTACACTTTTGACCTATAAATTTATGTTGGTTTCTAATTTTGGTGCCTCTATTATAAAATAGAAATATTTAGTCCATCTAATTTTTATAATATAAAATTTAGGTCATTCTTTCAAATTGACATATATTAATTATTAAATTTTAACACTTACTCATATTTAAATGATGTGATATTTAGTAATATGATATTTGAAGATAAAAAAAATAATTATAAGATTTATTAAAATAAATATTAATTACTCTTTAAAATAGATACACAAATGAAGATATTTTGTGTTATTTTTTAAATTTTTTTCTCTACATGTTGCATCACTAAATATCATATCATTTAAGTGGTAATAGGTAATTAATAACATTAAAATTTAATGATTAACAAACATCAAACTGATAGATGAACTAAAATTCATATTTTTAAAAATATGGGAACTAAATATCTCTATTTTAAAATAGGGAGACAAAAAGGTTAAAACCCTGTTTTGGTCCCTTATAATCTTTTTTTGTTTCAATTTAGTCCCTCATTAATTTTTAGTCTCAATTTGGTCCCAAATTAATTAATTGGTTTCAATTTAGTCCCAAATTAATTAATTAGTTTCAATGTGGAACTTCCGTCCAAATTATTTAAACGGAGTTAACTTTTGGTCACGTGGATGCCACGTAGATGCATACGTGGCATCCACGTGGATGAGAAAACTATTTTTAATACACCTGGACCCGGAACGGCCCGTTCTGAAACCGGAACGGGCCGTTCTGGTTGCAAAACTAAAACACCACCAGTGAATCAGAACGGGTCGTTCTTCTTTCAAAACGGGTCATTCTTCTTTCAAAAAGGGTCGTTCTTCTTTCAAAACGGGCCGTTCTGGTTTCAGAACGGCCCGTTCCAGAACTTGATTGTTGAGGGAAATTCCATGTTAAATATATTTATCATACAGCTGTGGGCCGTGTAAGTTATATTTTCTTTTATGAGTCTAAATTTACAATAATTACATTTAACTTATAATAATTATTTGTGTTAGGTACATGGACAAATTGAGTGTGGAGCAAGCACAAGCACAAATATATGGATTTATTGAGCCTCAATCCATCCAAAAATCAGGAAACACTCAGGTCCACATCCAACAATATATGCAAACATGGATGAGTGACTCAAGAAGAGATATATACATGGCTCCATACATTGACGGGTTAGTTTTTTAATTGGTTTTTTAATCATGGTAATTTTATAACTAATTTGTTTGTCATACAATGTAGGTCTCATTGGCAGTTAATGGCAATCATTCCTATGGAATACACCGTGGTGTGGTTTTGTTCACTACATCGAAAACCAAGCCACGAAATTAAATGCCAATTACAAGGGTAACTAAAATTTTTCATTATGTTTTAAAACTGTAATTATATATATTCGCTAACATCTGTTTTTATTTCAATTAATTAGAATCGTGTCTAGAGTTAATATTTTAAGTGGAAGAAGCAGATCATGAAAGACATTGCACTTCATATATCCTAAGGTTAGCAAATTAATTAATACAGGCAATAATATTTAAATTTATTGACTTTGGAAATAATAGTTATTTGTTTCTCATTTTAGTGTAATAAGCAACAAGACTCATTTGAATATGGCTATTACATCATGTATTGGATGAGAGTCATAGTTTCTGCGAGTATTACTGATTCTTGGGTGCAGGTAATTCATATCAAAATTTATTTAAGTATATTTACCTTTACGATAATTAACATTGCATATTAATGACACTTAAATTAATGTTTCAGGTCTTTCAAGATCCATCTCCATTACTCGAAGATGAGATCATCAAGATAAGAGAACAATTGGCAACTTTTTTTCTTCAAAGTATACAATAGTTAGATTTCTAAGTTTAGTTAGTTAGATATTATGTTTCTAGTTTGATAGGATTGACAAACATATGTTTATAGCTTTTTTAGGATAATAGGATTTACATTGTCATAATTTATGTTTTTTAAGATTTATATATTATTCTTTTTGTCATTCAATTTTGAAATATAATTTGAATTTGTATTCTGGACTGCCTGGTTTATATATGTAGGTTTTATATTGGGTATATCAAAAATTAAAAAAAAAAATTTAAAAATGCCAGATTTTACGTCGGACACAGGGACCAAAATAAGGTTTTAACCGAGACAAAAATTATAGATTGACAAAAATAGAGGAATCAAAAGTACAATTTTGTCAATTTATAAATATTTTTTTGTCCTTATACAAGGAATAAATTTTGGTTTCAATCCTAATAAAATATTTTTATTTGATTTTCATTCTTCTAAAGTTCCAATTCATTATTTTTTGTTCTTAATGATCATTTTAAGATAGATAAATAAAATTTATTTTAAAAATTTATAAAATAATTTAGAGGTGTAACACAGTTACATAGTAATAAGATATTCTAAAAAAAATACATTAAATTGGTTTAAAAGACAATTATAGTACCATTTGAAATTGTCATTTAACCTTGTAATAAACAAATACTTAATTAAAAATAATCACATAATGATAAAGATTAAATATAATTTGAAATTTTAGAAAGATGATAACAACAAAACAAAATTACAAAAGATTAAAATTGAAACCTCTTATTTTACATAGCTTAAAAAAGTATTTAAGATCTAATTAAAAATAATATTATGTCACAACATAAATTATTTATCGTAATATAATATATAATTTTTTATGATTAAAAAATTTGGTTATATATACTTCAAATATAATTTGAATATTATAATATAATCCTTTTATATATTTTTATTATAAATTAGGTATATATAATAAACATTTAAAGTATACTGTATACATATTAAAATACCAATTTTATTTTATGTAACTAAATTTTGTAAATTTTTAAGACAACTAAAATTTTTAATAAATAGTTTCCGATTAAATGGCCATAATTAGGTTATTTATATTTCCTAACCATGTGCACATTTTAAGTTGCCTATTTGGGATCATAAACATCAATTGGTTCTCTCAACGAATTTCTTCATCATGGCCAGATAATTTACAAGCTCTGATGTTGCCCAGATATATGTTAGAGTTGCATACACAGCATTTACCGAGTTTTACTGTCGTACGATAATGTTAAAACGAATCTTAACACGGCTTTTTGACGGGAATAAATAATAAATTAATAAAAATACACAAAATAAAAAATAATAATAATAACTATTTACCATTCTAGGTGAAAATGGCAACGTGGCAAGGTGTATAAATTACGCAGGGGATAGGAGTATTATAAAGTGACAAAATAGTGAATATAAAGCACATGGGGGAGGGATATGTTTTGTGCCCACAGTAGGCGCATGGAGGGGAGGGGATTTGTGGTATGTGTAAGTTACACCCCCCTAGGCGCTTTTTGAACCACTCGTCTCACAAGCAGAGATGTCTTGTGCACTACCATACACATACTGTGTGATATCTCCATACGGAGTTAATGTCGTCAGATAATATGTTCCTGCTGGTGGCTCAGTCGGAGGAACTGGCATTTGTAAATCTTGGTGTTCAACTCGCCTTCGTCGACGACTTAGCCCCCTTCCTTCTCGTCGACCTGCCCCAATGTACTCCACTTCAACTGGGTCTGCTTTTACTAATGTTGCAGGTGGAGCTGGTGTAGAAGGGAAACTCACCCTACTCACCTCGTCCTGCAGCTGCAAACAATGACCGATGCTCTCATGCATCGCCGTAAAATCAAAGGAATGTCGATGTTTTTCACTAGTGCCATGATACATGTGCTCCAAAACATCGGTCTACAAATAATAAAACAAATATAATTAGAACACTAAATTTGTAAATATCTCAAATGTAATTAATTAAATAGATCCCTAAACTCATACTTACCACATATCCTTTCTTTGCACTAGAAGGAGAAATCCATCGTTTAGTATGTTTCCTATACCACACCATGTATTCTGAGTTATTACTCAAGTGTGGTGTATCACACGCAGCTTGTGTCCATACACGATGAAATCGTGATTGCCACTCCTGCACAAATTGAACGTGCATGCGTGACCAGTCCATGTTATCCTTGCCTCGCAACGAAAGATCATGCAATTTCTCCGAATGAATAGGAGGTGCAGGAATGTGCTGGACCATCCCAAATTGTCGCATTACACGATCTGCATAATGATACTCAACGATGTGGAAATTAATCAAGGGGACAGTGGACCTCCATACTTGTGAGTCCTCAAAACAGTAAGGAGGTAATGTAGGTAGTAACTCCAAATATGGCTGCCATACAAACTGCAAAATAACATAAAAAATAAGTAGTGAGCAATTATCATTTATAATTACAATTAATTTTTTTCTATAAATTTTGTGTAAAACCTTGTAAATTAAAACTTACATCCCCTCTCTTCAAACGGTCAAAATATTTTCTATACTTCACAATTTTATCTTTCTTTTCCTCTTTAGGTTTATGCAAGGCTCTATTCCACCTGTTATTAAAAACAAATAAACCATTAGTACTTCAATATAAAAATTTATTTTAAATATTTTTATTCTTAATTCGATCACAAATAACATACTTACTAACCTTGCCCCTAGAGGAACATGGAATGTAGATAAAGGTGGATGAGGTGGTGCAAGAACAGGTAATCGATACCATGCCCATAACTGCACCAGAATAGCTGAACCACCAATTTCCTTGTGATCATAATTGGTGCACACGCATAATTCCCTATACATATTTGCCAACACACATGAGCCCCAACTCATATGACCACAAGCATCTAAGTCTTCTAGCAAAGCCAGGTATCTAAGGGATACAAATGAGCTAGAGTGATCAGTTAATAGATATCCCCCGATCATCCGTAAAATAAACGCTCTAGTATAGCGTTCCAACTGCTCCTGACTATGTACATGCTCAGATACATCAGAGAAGTGTCGGTCAATCCAACTCATCCTCAATCGACCACCAACAAGCACTGACTCAGGCGGTGTCATGCCAAGAAGGCGTTGCACAAGAGCTGCCCAATCCATAGTTGCGTATCCAGTAATGGGCGCCCCAGAGATCTTCAACCCGAGTAACATTGCAACATCCTCCAACGTTATAGTACACTCGCCGAAGGGCATGTGAAACGTGTGGGTCTCTGGTCTCCATCGCTCAACTAAGGCAGAAATTAAATGATTGTCCACAGGAAAGTAACTGATTTGGGCCACCCCCATAAACCCAGCCCTCTCTAGAAGATCCCGAATAGCATCTGGAATCTCAACCTCACGCAACTCTGATTGTGTTGCTCTCCTAACCTTCACAACCCTGTTTTTAGCTCCATTCCATATGTGCTCAGATATATGGAATGGTTGAAGCCTTAATAGGGAATCGTCAATAGGTCCTGGATGAACAATCTCTCTAGACATCCTAATACAAATAAACAAAGAAAATAATATACAATCATAGTATTAACTTTTAATAACACAAGATCTAAATACTATTTATACAACATCTAATTAGTAATATTTAAATTATAATTACATTTTCTTATATAACATTTAATAATTACAATTTATACAACATTTAAATACTATTTATACATCAAATTAATAATATTTAAATAATAGTTAAAAAATTACTTTCTATTTAATACTTAAAATTGTTACTTTAAATATGTAATACAAATATATAAACCAAAATTACTTTCTATTTAATTATTTGTATATTTAGTTTTTTTATAATTAAATACATTGCCTAATTATTATTATTACCTACGTAATATTATATAATCACAATTAATATTTGATTAAAATATCTTTTATAAAACTACTTATATGTTTTCTCAATTAAACTTACTTTGTTTTCACATATTATTTTATATATATTATTTAATAATTAATACAATATTCTTCACTTATATTATTAATCAATTATTATACATCTATTATTTAATATTTAATAATTAATACAAAATACAACAAACTAGTCAACTTTTTTATTAACAATTACTAATTCATAATTAACTCAAATTTTGAATTCAATATATCTAATATAAATAATTTTAAATATTTCTTATTTTTAAAATTTTATTCCAATTAATTTTATATATAACTAAATTTCATATATAACTTTATAAATTATTACTAAATAATTATTATCTAATAAAAAAAAATTATCTATCGATCATAAACAACATAAAACAAATAATGTTCCTAAAATATTATTATTTGTATTTTTTTAATTTCATTAAATACTATATACATCTATCTTTTTATTACTATTTAACATTATCATTTTGTTCATTTATATATTTTATTAAATCCAAAATTACTCAAATTTAATTAATTATTATCAATTTCAGTATTTTCAATTCCTATTTAGTCAATGATTTTTTTAAAATTAAGCTTAAACACTACTTAAACTAATTTTTTCATAATTATTTATTAAGAAATTCATTTGCTAAATATGTATTTTAAATTACTTTATTAATAATACTAGTTACTAGTCAACACTACATTTTTATTACACGCGATTATTTTAGTATAATATTATCTTTAATATTTATAAATATACATTATCTCTAATAATTATACGCTAGCTCTAATATTTTTCAATTTTTTTATTTTCATATTTTACTATAACAACAAATTACACTTATTATTTCATATTTTATAATTACTACAATATTCTTCTTTAACTTTCCACTATATAATAAATATAATACCATAAATATTGTAAACTTATTTTTAATTGTATTTAGTTTTCCAATTTATAATAACTAATTATCCTTTCTTATATTATTTTTAAAATATCACTTACGGGTATTTTTATTCTCTTTTCTTTAAAAATATATATTATTTAATTTATTAATTTATATAAATAGTAGTTACATTATTTTATTAATATAAATTTATCTATAAACTATTTACCTATATAACATTCTTATATTATATATTAAACAATAAATATTTTTTATTAAATATATTTTTAAAACGTAATTATTATTTTTATATTTTACATAAAATACAATTACTATTTTCACTAATCATATTAAGCAAAAAAAATTTAAAATCTCAATTTATAAACACTAAATAATTACTATGTTATTTTTATATCACTTCAAATTCCAAGTATTACATACAACAATTTTCAACCACAACAATATTTTCTTTATTATATAATATATATAATAATTACATTTAAAACATTATATTTATTTAAAATAATTAAATGATCACACTTACGTGATATCCGCCGGAGACGAAGAACGGTTGCTGCCGGAGTCGGAGAACAAACGGAGAAGCTGCAGAGCACAGAAGGCGAAGAACGCAAAGGTTTAAGTGGGGAGGAAGAAGAAAACGGAAACTGGAGGAACAAGATGAACAAATCAAACGCATATAAAGAGGAGTAAGTAAGGGGGTCAGAATTCACAGGGGGCAGCTGCGCCTGCGCCAACCTCAGCCTCCCGGTCAACACATTCAAAATCTCAATCTGCAAAATCTGAAATTTTGCAGTGTTCGCAAAAACTCAGTCTGCAAAAGCTGAAGTTTTGCCGTGTACGCAGATGAAAGCAGGGGCAACCCGCAGATGAAAAAATTGAGGATCTAACAAGGCGCATAGGGCACCTGCGCGATGCGTCAGAAGCACAAAATCTCCCAACCCCCTGCGCCTATTCTACTCAGTGCCATGTGACAGTTTTGGGCTACGGTAAAATGTTTTTTTTTTTTTTAATTTCCTGTATTTTTTTTTCTTTAATTGGGCCAAAAAGCCAATCTTAACACGTTGGTCAATATCAAGTATTTCTTAGTGCAAAGAAATCAAAGCACATTTGACAACCACATTTAATGCAAGTGTAATCGGTAGTGTTTTTCCTTATTGAAATTAAAACAATTTAAAATAATCAATCTAGTTGTTGTAGTGTGAGAATTTGATTTCACTGTAGATAATATTAATTTTAATATATATATATATATATAAAGAATTTAAAATATAATTTTTATTAACTATTATACTATTTAAAAAAATTTAATTAATATAAATTTTCAAAAGTT